CTGGACAACAAATTTCCCAATATATCAAATCATCGGAATGTCTTCAACGTGACGAACCAGTAAAACACTGACCCTGCAGCAGAGGATAACCATGCAACAAGGGACTTCAAACCATACATCGGCCAGATTGAACCGCTAAGGACCACAGGAAAATGAGCAATAAAAATGAACACATCACATTAACACACTGGCGATCGTAAGGGAGAATGTGAAAGTATCATGTTGCCAGAGAAGCATTGCGAGATACAACATGCAATGTTTAGAAAGTTTGTTTGTTCACGATAAAATGAGAGTTCTAAAACATATTTTTAAAAACAGTTAATCAACAAAACGACTGATAAATCAATAAGCACGCCACAATATTTTCCAGATGTACACCGTGCATGCATGCAAGTGCATTGTGAATGTGTGGTGCATTCATTCTCATTCTTCTTTACATCTAATTCTCCATTCTATCAACGGGAGTGTTACACTGAAAATGACAAGTGATGTTGAGAAATCATCCTCTAAAGTCGGTAACATGTGTCAAGGAAAAAATGATGATTAACATCTCCTCCGTCTCTCAAAACAACGAATTAAATAACGACGGGCCGGTTGCAGTCAGTAATTATCAAATCTGAATTTCAAATTAATACTGCTGGCAGTGTCATGATTCTTATAATATCCTAATACCCTATCCGACACACACACACACACTCTCTCGCTCTCTCACACACACACACACACACAAACACACACACACACACACACATATATATATATATATATATATAACACTGAAGCAGGGCGATATAAATATTTCATAGTATTTATTCGCCATCGGTGTGTTGTACATGTGCACTCAACGATAATACGTACGTATATTTATCATATACATTTATGATGTATATATATAGGAAGACGTCAGATGTATAGATTCAGTTAGGAGGGTTACATAAATTGAATGTACGCTCCTACTTATGTGCGTCTCTGTGTAGATGTTATTATATTCGAAAGCGAAATGTGTTGATTTGTTTGTTTAGCAGGTCTTTTTAAGCAAATGGTTTATCGCGCGCAGTAATAACACGTTTGGTTGCGACTGATGAGTGAATTGTTGGAATAATTTAAAGACATTTTGTTGGATAATTTTAAAAATCAAATTGTTGACTTATTTAATTGTGAATATTGTAAAATTATAATTTCATTGGGGACAACAAATTCTTCTTGCCTGCGCCAGTTTTTAACATTTTTTCAATCATCCGCCAAATCAGTATTTATGTTTTCGCACTTCAAACCGCTGAGCCAATCCTTTGCAGCACCAGCCCCTATGTTCCAGGCCACCTACGGACCCCGACCCATCCTGCCCACCATCTGGTCCTACCCAATCTTCCAGCTGCCCCCACCCGCCAGGTGCACCCCTCACGGCATTGACGACATCCTCGGAATTAAAAACTCAAACTGCAAATCTCCCATCAGCGATGAAAACGATTGTGATGCGAGCGATAGAGAGGAGGAAAGTTACAAAATCGACTGCCAGCAAGCAGACATTTTGAAAAGAAAGAAAGTGATTGAAAGTTTGACGAACAAGGTCTGCAGTTCAATCGAAAAAAGACTTGATGATGAGGACGATGCAGATGATGATTACCCATTCAAAAGTTCACACGCCATCCTAAATAACAAAACGATAAAACTTCCATTCAAATTTAACAACTGTGATAGCATCGTAAGTTGCAGAGTTAGTGGCACAAACAAAAACACCAACAACGACGCCGCCGACGACGAAGCTCCGTTGAACAACTACGCAGCAGACTCCAGCAGTCAACAAGTCTGCCCATCACCCGACGAAAGTTTTCAAAAGTTTGACGATGACAACAGCAACAACACCAGTAACCACAACAACATCAGCAGCAACAACAACAACGCCAGCAACAACAGCGATTATAAAGAAAGTTACAACGACACAGATGGAAACGGCGACGATGACGATGACGATGCCAATCATGAACCTTACATGAGTCGAGAGGAGAGGATGAAACACTGGAAGGAAGGGGCTCCTCGACATCGCGCCGACCTCGCGAGGGACATGAGACTGAGGAGGAGGAGGTCGTTGAGGGGGCAGGCTGGTGGAGAAGCAGGGAGGAGCCTCAAGGACAGTTTTGAAGGTTGGTTGGCTGGCTGGTTGGCTCACTTCACCACAATGCATCGTCCTCGTGACCATTCAATATTAAGTACATTTTCATGATGCTGCATCATTCACTACACATTATTTTAGATTTATTTACACATTTATTTTAGATATAGATTTATTATTGCATGCGTAACCTAATGCACAAACGACTACTAAATTGTGATTGTTGTGTTAACCAAATTTAAATGAAATGATTTTTGAAGCATTCAAAAACAAACTTCAAACCGTTTTTTTTGGTTACTTCGTGGGAATTGTACCTCGATTCGTTCATCATATTTGCCAGCATACCAGCCTAAATGTTCCTTGCATGTTGCTTTCCAACAATTCATCCCAGCACTTCTTGTTGTTACACAATTTTTCGTCTTGTGTTGCAAATAAAAGCGTTAGAATAATATTTTTTGCGGTTTCGACGAGCACGAGGTCCTTGCTAGAATGGTGCGCACTGACCAGAGCACGTGCTGACGACTTGAGGAGACATGCTTCGTTGTCCAGTTGTTGTGATGTGTTGAATAGTTAGGGCTTAAACGTTACACCGTGCATGTGAGACAACTGCTCTGATTGGTTTCACTGCGGGGAGCATTTTCTGCCCCACTTGAAACTAACTGACTGAACAGATTACACTTAATTAAAATGCTTCAGCCGAATATCACAGTAAGTTCTCATCGGCGGTTGTATCTCTTTTGTTATTTGAAAAAAGATGGATGGATGGATGATTAGATGGATTGATAATGTGTGGATGAACTGATACAAAGTTTGAAGTTATGTTGATATTGATAGTATGGAACTGTTTGTATAAAAATGTTGCTCAGATATGGTCGGTCACAAACATGCACGAAGAGCGTTGCGTCGCCTGCTACAACATCAACCGCAAAACTACAAATTATTTTCATTTCTCTCTTCAAACCACACACCGGCCAGATTTCAAATGTCGACTTGTGAATCGCTCACCTAGTGGATGCAAAGAAATAATTAACGACGTAAAGTTTTTTCTTTCAATTGCTTAACAGTTGCAGACTGTACGAAATATATTCAAACCAGTCAGCCAACACAACAGCTGGTTGTGTAACAGCGCTGCGTTGTTTTTGTTACTTCATACCCTCCAAGGCAGACTTCCAAGTAGGTATTCAAACTTCTCGCGCGTATGTTGTTGCTGTTGTTTTGGCAGCGCGTGATAACAATCTTCTGTTGATTTCACAGTCCCTACAACATCCACTGCTTTTCTACCAAAGCAAAGTACATGTTATCATCAACATTCTCCATATTTAATTACGTGCAGTAGCAAAATTTATCTATTATAACAACCACTGCTAGTCGCATCATCTAAAATTAATATCCTAATTATCTTTCATTCATTCATATGTTCATTCATTCATTCGTTCGTTCGTTCGTTCGTTCGTTCGTTCATTCGTTCATTCATTCATTCATTCGTTCATTCATTCATTCGTTCGTTCGTTCGTTCCTTCATTCATTCATTCATTCATTCATTCATTCATTCATTCATTCATTCATTCATTCATTCATTCATTCATTCATTCATTCATTCGTTCATCCAGCAATTAACTCATTTTCCCTAGCCTATTATTTCTACTAACAATTTGATTGTTGTATTGTTTAGGTTCATTTTAGAAACTTTATTGAATTCAATTGTAGTTTGTTCGTTGATGCATGCATGCATGATGCAGATGAGTAATTACGAATGAATGAATGAATGCATGAATGAATGAACGACCATATAGTGAATGAATGAGCGATATAACGAGGAATGAGATGAAGACTTTTGTTAACCCCGCGCACAACAGCTTCGTTCGGAAAATAAGAATGTAAAAATATTTTCGGAGGCTGCAACCGACAGATGCGCGTGTGCCGAGGTGTTCTTCTTAACTGACAAATGTTTTAAAACTTCAATTAACCTTGTAAACTGAAACAACAACTCGAAAGTGTATTTGTAAGAACTACAAATGATCAACACAACAACAACAACAAATGATCAACGACAACAACAAAATGATTTATCATAACAACAACATCAACTACAACACCAGTTAAAATCATAACAACAAAAGCTAATAAAAATATGGTTATAAAGAAGGTTATCAAATAAAAAAATAGAACAAACACGAACAAAAACTTAATTGCAGAAACATCTTCCAGCAGAAATGGCAATAACAAATTCAAATCAGTTAATGCAACTTCTACTGCTCTTCTATAAATATCAGTTTATAAATAATCCGTGTTAATGTTTCTGAATGACCATCGAATAAACGTCATTTTCATCAGCGGAGATGCTGCAGTTGTTGGCCGCGGCGTCCAGCCTGCACTCCCCCGCCACCACTAACGCAACATCGGCGAAACATGAAATGTTCACAACGCAAGGAAGAGAGCGGATCGAACGAGCCCGTGAACACTGATGTGATATTTCGTTAACATTTTGATACAGCAGTCCTAGAACGATCAACAACTTTCTTTCAGCAAACATCATCAGCAGTTTTTCTTTTCATGCATGAACATAAAAAATATTTTTTCATAGAAAGGAGCTTAGGTGGTGGAGACTGCATCTCGAGAAGCGAATGCGATCCTCCAACTGCCAAGTTTCCTGAAAGTTCAACAGAATAACCTGCCCACTATGATAACATGGCGGTGGTCACAACCATGGAGGAAAGGTGGGGGCATGCGACATGGAGGCACTCTATGAGCGATTAATTTATTTAGCGCTAGATCTTGGACATACTAATGTACTAATTAATTAGTCACACATTGAATTAAGCTCCCCGCCAGAGCTACATGCTTTCAACCGCGCCAGACAACGAGGCCTCCTACAAATGATGATTGTTTACACAACTTGAAACTGCATGAGAACTTCTACGGAATGATGTCATGTCACGTAAAATATAAGACTTAACAAGTGAAATAGAATAGAGACACACAGGCACGCACGCACGCACACGCACGCACAAGCGATTGTGGAGATGTTGCAGCAACACGCAGATATGTTATGATGCGGTGCGATTGAAGAAATGTGAGGCTGATAAACAGGCATTGTTATGACGTCATCATCGTATAAGGATGTCCGTGCTGTGGTAATAAAGAGGAAGCGGACGATGTGAATGGAAGATCACGCGTGTGGATGTGTGTGTGTGTTTGTGTGTGTATTTGTTTGTGTGTGTATTTGTTTGTGTGTGTATTTGTTTGTGTGTGTATTTGTTTGTGTGTGTATTTGTTTGTTTGTGCTTGCGTGTGCGTGTGTATATATATTTGTTGTTTGTGTATTTGCTATGTGTGTTTGTTTGTGGTGTTTATGTGTGTGTTTGTATGGGTAATTTTGTGTGTTTGTGTAGGTGTATTTGATGTGTGTGTCACTTGAGTTGTAAGGTTGGAGTTATGGGGCAAATGTTTTCTACTTTATGCTATCAAGTTTTGTGTTAAATTTCTGCAAGTCGTTGCCTTGCCGTGTTGCCATTTTTTGCCTTCTTTCACTGTTGATGTGAACTGACAGGAAGGCTTTCACTGCAGCAATTAACCCTGCTACAAAACGAAAACATCTATGTTAATAAGATGTCTGCAGTTGCAATTACTACCAATGCATAACTTTAACGCTTTCATCATTTCAACTGCTGCTACTACAAAAAATCCCATCTACTACAACAACTACTACTATTACTACTACTACCACTACCACCAACGCTACAATGACTACTTCTACCACTCCTACTACTTTTACAACAACAACTACTACTACTACCACAACTACTACTACTACTACTATAACTACTACTACTGCTGCTGCTGCTACTACTACCACAGCCACATTGCTCGTGGTACTATTTCATTATTTTCCTTTTTCATCGTAGAGTAATTAACCGTGCGTCTGTGATGAAATAAACTGAAGTCTCAGAAAAATAATATTCACTGGGAAACAAAAAATGCTAAAACAATGCTACAACAACAACAACAACAACAACAACAACAACAACAACAACAACAACAATAACAACAACAACAGCAGCAGCAACATAAAATAACATAAAACAATAAAGTGCAAGAAAGAAAGAAAATAATAAAGAACATTTGTTTGTTTACGCGGCGTGTAATTTGCCTAATGAAATTTCAATTTGACTTCAGGGCCTTCCTCGCTGGACAGCTGTCGTCAGTTCGATCGCAACAACTACCCACCACCACCACAGCAACTATTCTCTCGTTATCAACTTCATCATCATCATCCTTCTCATCATCATCATCAGCAGCAGCAGCTCGATCAGCAGCAGCATCATCATCACCACCATCCTCATCACTCAAACATCATGAACGGAAATTTAATAAACAGCATCAGGAAAAACGTCGAACACCATGGTGAACAGCAGCATCAACAACGACATCATCGCCACGACCACCACCACCACCACCATCAAAGAAACAAAATTGATTTCTATTCCATCGTTTCAAACAAAACAACAACAACGACGACAAGCGACTTTGCATTGAACAACGTGCACTCTGACGCACATTTCAACATAGGTAAGTTTTTATTCAATTCATGCAAACAAATCCATATTTTGATCATGTTGGGTCAGGAGTTGGCAGCATTTAAATTTTTCTCTCAACCCACTCCTCAATTTTCGCCTCATCGCCTAAAATTTTTTTCCGTTCTTTCTTAGTTGCCATTTCCTTCATCTTCAAATTCTTAAATTGTAATGTCATCGTGATGGTGATTTGTGATGCTATTGCAGGCTCCATGAAATGTTGCCGAATCAGTTTGTTAACAAAATTGCTTTTATTGAAATCTTGCTAATACTGCTTTTTCTACTTTCGTCCGTCATTCCTGATTTCCAGAAAAAATTCCATGTTTTCTAAAATTTTCATGTCCATTCCCCATCCCATGCTCACTTTTAGTTGAAATGTTGGTGTTTTAAGGATGATAGCATGTTTAAAAATTATTGTGCCGAGTTGTTGATGTGTTGAGTTGTTGATGTGTTGAGTTGTTGATGTGTTGAGTTGTTGATGTGTTGATATGTTGGGTTGTTGATGTGTTGAGTTGTTGATGATTGAACAACGGTTGAATTATAATTAAATAGCGAATGAAATATTTGAACATGAGGACCGGTAGGTGGCCATCCAACCAGCCTGGCGGGCACTGCCTCCAACACCACGAACAACAACAGCGCCATAAAAACGAGTTCAAACAACAGCAATCAAACAACTTCGCCCTCACCAACTTCATCATCACCGGGCGCCTCTAAACACAGCTCAAGCACGAACAACACTAACAACAACAACAACAGCATCAACAACAACGAAGACGACAACAACAACGACTCCAGCACAACAACATCCGCCAGTGAGAAGAAGAAGAAGGCACGAACCACATTCACGGGCAGGCAGATTTTTGAGTTGGAGAAACAATTTGAAGTGAAAAAGTACTTGTCGTTGAACGAACGAGCCAAGATGGCGGCCCTGCTGAACGTCACTGAAACTCAGGTAGGTACTCCTTTTTTCTGGTTGCCGTGTTGTTTGCTGATACATTTCAACAAATCTGTATGTGCTAAAGTTTGAATGGGCTTCGGTTTCCTCCTCGAATTAATTTTTAAAACTAAAAAATGATTACGATGACGCGAAATTTGCAAATTTCAACTTGAAAGATCATCCAGCTGACATTCAGCGATAAGCACCAACATACACAACACGTGCACGTGTTGTGTATGTTGGTGCTTATTATGTTGGTGCACGTGTGCAAAACCTGCAAGGCGATGACTGATTACGAAACGACGTTCGACCAATGTACCTGTCGTGAAGTTGAGCAATGGGGCACCGATATTACCATATGTTACTTATAAACATATATCCAGTATAACACACACACACACAAACACACGCACGCACACGCACACATGATTTATACCATCTGCTGGTCCTACCTGCGTTCGCACACAATCGAAAGTTACTCCAACCAATCTGCTCTCACAATTTCGCTACTTGTCTTCTAACTGTTTAATACTATTTAAATTCGCGTTGCGGTAAAAATCTGAACTTGAAGGAAATATCGAGAAATAGCGACATCTGTTATGTGATGAATATTGTAAGCTTGATCTGCAAACGTTTACATGTAGATATGTTATATGTAATACATTACTCCAACTGATATATGCATAGCCGTCATTCATTTGCTTGGTGAAGTGTGGAGTTTCATCTTTTTGTTTGAAACGTTTTAGATCTACACTCCACCGGTGGTCCAAATCGAAAGTCCAATTTGCCGTTACCCTCAGAACACATGCTATTAAATGGACTGCTCTCACTTTGCAAACTTTTTTAAAAATTAACTTTATATTTACATCAAATTGCAATTTGTTTCAAACTTCTCCAGCTGTTTTAATCGTTTAACAAAATGAAAAAATTCATAGATGGAGAAAAACTCTGAAATAGATTTGCCAAACATTCATGCATGTACTGTACCATGTACGTGTATAAAAAGAACTTGGAGATGTGCGATTCAGTCAGGACGACGTGCCCCGTGCGAGTTCCACATCAAATAATGAAAACAACTGTTGACGCGAATGATGAGGCCTGCCTGCGTTGTGTGCACTGTTGAGGGAGGGAGAGAGAGAGGTGATGAGATGGATGGATGTGGAGGCTGGGCTGTTGACTCCGCTGAACAGACACTTGTGAATGAGCAATTTATATCTGCCTCAACTTTCATTAAACATCGCATCCGGCGGCTGGTTGACACTTCAAAATGAAATTGAGATTATGAAACATTTCGCAATGCTGCGTATCAGATTTCACTTCTCAGTTGCACGTTGTACGGCGAACGAACCTCAATGAGTTACACACCAACTCACGTCGCTCGTACGCTTTTTATTTATCTATTTGTTTTTAAACTGTAATCGTTTTTTTTTTTACAAAAAAACGCCAGCCGTCTGTAAAAACAAAATCATTTGCGTTAATTTATAAGATTATTGAAAGTGAACGCGTGTATGTGCATCCTGTCTAACAGTGTATTATTTTACACATTCACATCTGGTCACGTGTGTGCACATTCAACTGTTCATACATACATTTGTACAGATTTTGACAAATAAACTGTTATACACATACCGACATGTAAAGATTTCACAGAATTATTGAAACATACGCACAGAAACTCAAGCACACACTCACGCAAGCACGTACCAGCATGCGCAATATACACCAACAAAGACAAACACAGAAATGCATACGTTAACATACACATACAATACACTTAAACATACACCCCTGCATATATTAACATACAGATACACACCAATGTACACACATACATGTACCAACATACCCACTTATACACCATCACATACACATGCACATATACACACCAACTCCAACATACACCGATACAAACAAACATAAACACACGCGCAGACATAAGCACAGACGTCAAACACAGCATAATGAAGTTTCATACATATCCTAATGTATAAATGGATGTTGAATATCTTTAAAAATGTATTTATTTATATTCAGCATATATTTTCTAATTGCCGACTACACGCCTACAGCACTTCTTGAACTCGCGTTTAAATGATTAAGTTTCCGATATATGGTAATTCAACTCTGCTCCTTGCTATTCCTCTCGTGCGAACACTCTTCATATGCACTGCTGTGTGTGCCTGTCTGTCTTCATGTTGCGCTCTGTATTTGTACGTATTTATGCGTCTATGCATATTTGTTTGTTTGTGTATGTATGTATACACGTCCGTATGGTGGGACCGATACCGCTGATTGCAGAAGGAGAGATTTGGTGGCTCCTCCCAAGTCTGCACGCCAACCCGCTCATCGCGTCATCCCTCATCATCTGCGTTATAAACGTAAATTCCTTGCGCATAAGAAAAATAATTTATTTTGATTTTTAGTAAAAAATTTTTATACCAGCTAGATCGATTTTTATGAAGAGATCAATTTTCTTTCTTCAACCCTGTTTTTATTGTTGCTTGCTTAATTTGTCTCGTTGGCTCGATGTGGTTACAATTATGCTGTTGCAAAAGTAGTTTCTTCATGTGAGATACATGATGGATGACATACAGAGATGTTAGATACATGATGTATTTCTCGATTATGAATCTTCCATTTATTAAACATATTTGATGTACAACACAAAATTAAAAGTAGTTGTGAAGAATTTAGTGGATAAGATGGCATTAACACTGGCGGCTGAAGAGTCTGGAGACACTTGAAATTGGAAGGTGAACTGGAAGATATTTGGCATCCATTGTAGATGGTGACCGTGGTTTCAATTAAACAAGTTCATTAAAAAATAATAAACAGAAAAATCTCTTTTAAAGGAGCACATTCCGTGGGAATAAAATTATTTCAAAACGAAGAAAATCGAATAAACAGAGTCTATTTGGAATGCAAAAATTATGAAGGCCATAAAAAGATATGATTGTATAAAATATATTTAAAATGTATACATGATGGAGAATATATTTGACATGTTTTTGCTCTTGTTACGTGAATGAAATTCTAAGTAACAACGTTTTCAAACTAGCTCTTCTGACGCTCCAACTTGTTTGAAGGAACAACTACAACTAGTTTCAGAAATTGCAAATCGGAGTCGACTTAGATCCTCCGATAATGGTGATCTTGTGCTTCCGAAATTCAATTAGTCTCGCTTTGGGAAGAGAAGATTTTCTGTTCCAACTGCACAAATTTGGAACCCACTACCTGTAGATTTGAAAAAATTCAACAACATGAGCACACATGGTTATAAGAAACGTTTGAAATAAAGTTATTCGATAGAAGCGTTCCATAAATCCTTGCATACAGATACTGATATGTGATATGTGCTAAAAGGACATGAAACAATTTTAACACAGTGAACCTAAAAATATATTGAACGTGTTCAAAACAATTAATCCATTTTATCATAAGTTACTTTTATTCGTTATTGTAAGTTTTATAACATCTTCAAAATCTTTTACATGTCGCCAATAAGATTGATTCAAAAGTTTTCCAATCTGTTTTCCAAAATGTTCATCGACTCAAATTAATTTGAAAGATAAATTTTTTTAAATTCTATTATTTGGTTACTTTTTATATTTTAAATATGATCAAATATGATTTTTTTAAGTTTTTGTAGAGTCTGATGTTTTTGTGTTGCTAGCACAAAGTCCAAAACAAACAGCATGGCTTCTTTACTGTTTTGTGAAAATTTAAATACGTTTGTTAGTGCAGAAAATAAAACATACTTTGAAATATCGAAGTAAATGAATAAAAAATGAAACTCCTTGAAAGGTGAAAATATGGTTTCAAAACCGACGGACGAAGTGGAAGAAGCAGGAGAACCTGACGAACGCTGAGGCAGCGGAGCACCGCATCAACAACGAGAAGAGGTCGCTAGTGTCAGCCAACTCAGCATCAACTTCGGCAACAATCGAAAAGCATTACCAACAACAAATCAACAATCTTGCTAAGCAACACATAAGCAACAACCTGAATAACAACAATTCAACAATTTTTTCAACAGCAACAAATGGTTACTCCAATTTGTACAGTGACCACAACCACAACAGCAGCCACAATAACAGCCACAACAACAACCAAAGCAACGACCACTCATCAGCTTACAACGCTCACCACGGCATGTCCATTTACCCTGTTCTTGCACCTCAATACATCACCAAACAAATATCAATTCTCAACAAACAACATTTTGTTGTCAGACAAACATTCAACAGCCCACAAATACTTCTGCCAGCAATGAACGCCTCAAGGAGCTCCTTAGTTGTAGACGATGATGTTGAGAGTCTGAACAATAAAAATATCGACCACAAAGTTTTTAATTCTAGCATCAGCAGGCAAAACTTTCTAAGCACACACAACAGCGCCACCTCTACTAGCGCCACCACCACAGCCACCGATGACAACAACACTATCAACAACAACAACACTAACACCACCAACAACAACACAATTTTCTACATGCCTGATCTCATTCAACAAACTGAACTTGATTTGAGCGTTAAATCAACAGTTGAACCTCAGCAGCAGCAACAGCAGCACTTTCATCAACATCAACAACAACAGCATCATCAGCTATTGTTCCAACAACAAGTTGCCGCTCTGCAGGAAATGACTTCCATCCAAAATGAACTTCAGCATCGAGAAATTCAACATTCCCCTTGGTCGCCTGAAACATCTTCACGCCAGAGAGGCAGCAAATATTTTCTTACGATCACCAATAACTCCACAAACCACAGCGACGACAACAATGACGATGTCCACCATTTTAAACAAAAGCACGACCCTGATGACCGTCATGACGGTGATGATGACTGTAGCCATGACGCTGGGGCAAAGATGAACGTTAGTGAATTCAACGATGAAAAAAATGATGAAGCTGATGATGATGATGACGATGAAGAAGGTGATGTCATAAAATGTGCTGATGATAATGATGATGACATTAATCTCGGTGACGATGACAATAATAAGAACGGAGTTGGTGAAAGTGGTGGTGCAGAAAACAGCGGTTACGAGGGTGACGACAATGAGGTGAGTGATGGAATGAAGGAGAGGACAATGAGGAAGTTGCGTGAAGGAGCTGTTGCAGTTGCCGATGGAGTTGGTGAGGATGACAATAATGATGATGGCAGTCGAGATGAGGGTGAGGATCGCATGGAAGATGACTCGCTGCCTGCGTGATGATGTGATGAGTGCTCCCCAACTCAACTGTGTGACATCACTTCTTAAACATTCAATTTTTGGTGTTGGATGCGTCCATTTGTATATAACATTAAATCTTATATATATATATATATATATATATATATATACGCACACACACATGTCTGTAAAATTGTACACACACACACACACTATATATATATATATATATATATATATATATATATATATATATATATATGCATGTAATAATAATAGATAGATTAGAATAAAATAATGTTGCCAGAATTCGATCGTGTTTTCATTTCAATTTCAAAGATACATCATCTAGCCATCCAGCGAGAGAGATCCAGCTGGCATCTGCATTCGCACATAGATATTAATTAAAATGTCGCTTAACATACTATTTAAAAATAAAAATTAACATCATTAATATAAATTATAGTTGTTAGAATTACACATAGTCTTATTAACGAGGTGGTAGTGTAAAAGTGAATTAATGTCGAAACAGGGAATTGTATTTAACGGTGCGAGCAGTTATTGCCTGCCAATGACCATCAATCAAAGCTAATCAAATCATTAAGTTTCAATCGCCATGCATTTGCCTCGAACGATTAATTTGCGCATTCCTGGATATTCATTCATTTAGATGCGAGTTTGTGTGTTCAGACGTGCCTGCATCTCTCTATACTGTGTGTGTATGTATGTGTGTGTGTGTGTATGTGTGTGTGTATGTAAGTGTGTGTGTATGTATGTGTGTGTGTATGTATGTATGTATGTATGTATGTATGTATGTATGTATGTATGTATGTATGTAGGTATGTATGTATGTATGTATGTATGTATGTATGTATGTATGTATGTATGTATGTATGTATGTATGTATGTATGTATGTATGTATGTATGTATGTATGTATGTATGTATGTATGTATTTATGTACATTCATAATTTTTTTCAATCGTTTCATACCTCGCATGACAGAATTTGATTTGCAGAATAAAAAAAAAACAAAAAACAAGATGTGAAATGATCAAATTGATGATCACAGCAACATGGAATGAAACGCAAGCAAACAAACTCCGTCCAAGCATCCGTCCATTCCGACTAAAGATGTTAATTTACGAATGTGCACATTACTACTGTATTTATTATCATTACATCCAATATAGCATCCCATACGAGACCAGGTCAAAGGTCAAACGTACATCATCTGACTCGATCTAGATTATGTGAGTTGACGCGTGTACTTTTGTACATTTTTGCGTTTGTACGTTTGTAGTTTTGTGTTTGTGTGTTTGTACGCTTAAACCTGTGTACGTTCAAACCTCTGCATGTTTTGATCTCTGTATGTTCGGATATATTTGACTCGTTTTACGTTCGTTTATTTGTAAATTTATAAGTGATATCTTGTGTACGTACGTATGTATGTGTGTGTACTTGTGTGTGTATGTATGAATGTATGTGTGTATGTATGAAAGTATGTATGTATGTGTGTGTGTATGTATAAATAAAAATATTCTATAAATTCTTATATATATATATATATGTATATATGTTTACAATATTCTAAAAATTATGGTCTATTACCAACATATATATATATGTATATATATATTGGATTAAGACTGTCAAACATATATATATATATATATATATATATATATATATATATATATATATTTATTTATTTTTACAATATTCTATAAATTCTACGGTTAATATTAACGCCAAACATTCGGTAGAATTTATAGAATATTGTGAAAATTATGGTCTATTACCAACATATATATATATATATATATTGGATTATGACTGTCAGAAATGCAATTATTGATGAAAATCACAGCACGTTCGGCGTTAGTTAACTTCCTGTTTAACTTTTCGATGACGGGGTTTGTACTGTGTCGCTACTTTACTATGTCGATTCCTGGCATGTTCAAAGTGAATACTTAATTAAATGAGCGTTAAATGAGCAGAAGAGATGTGGCAGCCATCTTACCGACAGAGCTGCCGGCTGACAAACGTTGTTCTAGAGATGGCTTTGATGTTTGTAGAATTATTCTGAATAATGTCTATAATGATTAACATAGCAGTAATGCTGACAATGTTAGGACGCCATCAACAGAGGTCAATAATAATAATTGAAACAAAATATTTCAAGGAGGTGTTCATGTTAGCGTTGTTCTTTATCATACTGTCTTGATGTCATTGCTGATAATGATAAACGCTTAAGTTGACTTTCCGAGCAATTGAATTGTTCTGCTCTAAATTTGATGCTCTGCTTTTTTGTCAATTGTTTCAAAACATCTTACAACCGTCCACGACTGTTTGAAACTTCTCAAACGTCATATTTTGATATTTGCTGTTATTAATTTTTTTTTAATTTTCCCAACTTGCCAACTCCTCAATTAAATAAAATCTGACATTTTTATTCCCAGTAATTTAATACAATTATCGTCTCATTAATTTTTTCATTCCAGTTATTTATCCATTCACGGCGTGCTCTGATTTTGTTTTCAAGCAAAAAATTTTCTCGTTGGGGTGGATAAAACGTAATAAATTAGGAAGGTTCACAATCAGCCCCTTTTATGTTTTATCAGATTTCAATTTTAAATCATACTACTATCTGCTATATAATAGATTCAAATAATTAAGCAATAAACAAATGCGTATCTCTATTTCTCTCTCTTTCTCTCTCTCTTTATATATATACATATATTAGAAGAATATATATATGTATTTATTTATTTATTTATATTTATGTGCATGTTGTATATTGTAGTGTGAGTGTGTAAATTGAATAATTAATTTTGAAAATTAAAGTATAAATTAAAAAAATAAAAAATAAAAATAGTGAATGAATAGGAAGAAAATATGAAATAAAAAAAGAAAGCGAGAGGAAGAGTGAGAGAAAGAGAGAGAGAGAGAGAGAGAGAGAGAGAGAGAAAGAAAGAAAGAGAGTTTATAGACATTAGATTTAGTGAATCAATGAGAAAGTCTTGTTTGGTTGAGATGCAAATTAGGATGATTCGATGACTGCATGCCTCGTTTGACACTTTATCCTACGTGATGTCTTGCTTACTGCTGTTGTTGTTGTCGTCGTTGTTGTTGTTGTTGATGTTGTTGTTGTTGATGTTGTTGTTGTTGATGTTGTTGTTGTTGATGTTGTTGTTGTTGATGTTGTTGTTGTTGATGTTGTTGTTGTTGATGTTGTTGTTGTTGATGTTGTTGTTGTTGATGTTGTACGTGTGTTGGAGTTTGTTTGTGTGTTGTTGTAGTTGTCATTTTATGCTTTTGTTAATCTGCCTACTTTGGTTCACAATATAAGATCTGGTAAACATATGATAAAATGTGAACATCCTATAAAATATATGGTGAACATATTGAATGAGGTGAATGTATAACATAAGGTGATACTATGAAGTATGGTGAACATATAAGATAAAGTGAACACTTAACAAGGTGATCTAATACAAAGCAAACCATTGACAAAAGATAAACTTTCATTTTAAGTTAAATATGTGACAAAAGATGAACATATTATCGAAAATGAATCAAAGATCTAGGAAGTCTGATTACCCCAGGTTGTAAATGTGATGTGGATGTCAAACGAAGGATAGCTATGGCGAAAGATGCATATTCTAAAATGAAGAA